GACTCAAAAAATGAAAAATGTTAAAACTCTTTTAACTCAAATCGGACTAAGAATAGACCAAAACTTTAAATTGTAAATTAATTTTGAGTCATTTTTCTTTTTTCTTTTTTTGCATATATGTTTCTGGTCCCTCACTTGTGGTACGTAAGACATTCTAGGATCTTTAAAACCACAGTGTAGACACCAAAGTAAAATAGAAAATATACCTGTAAGAGACACTTGAGAGTTGATACATGTACTGATAAAAAAGATCTTTTAAAATCATAAAATAGATTTTTTTTTCATGTGTACTAAAACGTTAAACTTCGTTGTCAATATTTCCTGACAGGTCAAGGTTTTTGGGTTATTTTAGCATTTTATAGACTTTATTTGTTAAATCTATAGATATTCCCGTAATATAATGAGTGTTGGTGTAATTTAAACCCCTACCCCAAAATATCACACTTATACAATGTATCACGGGCTTACTATTCCATTTGACTTTTCTTTGTTAAAGATGTATAAAAATGTCGACATTTAAAGCTTTCTCAAATATCTCATCATGAATAATTTACATTGAAACAATTAACTTGTTTATGGTAAAAAGAGAACTATTTTGAAGTAGATTTAGAATTTAATATTAATGAATACATGTACTGGCTTTCATTATTTTTTTTAATTGTTTGTTTGTCTCTGGATCGTCTTACTTTCAAGCAGATATATTACGTTACAAACGCTCACTTTCATCTTGGTATTTCCTTTTGAGAAATGTCTCCCCCACATAATGAATTGCTTTGCCAAAACCATTATGCAGAGCTCATTTAAATTAAAAGAAAGACGTGTAGAACAAGTTTTCTTGTTCTTTTAATTATTTTGGAACTTTGAACACGTTGAATAAAGTTTTCAATCAAACATACTTCATACATCACTTGTCTGTTTTCATAACCATTTCCGGTTGAACTTTTCTGATGTTATTTGAATTACTTGGTAAGATAGTATGTTAGCTATCTATTATTACAACAACAACAAACATTAAATGGAAACATCATCTGCATGACCGGGCATTACCATGAATTTCTAACTATATATGATATATTCCATTACTGATTTAATGTATGTTTTAAAACAGTTTTAAAAATGCGCACCTAGTTGTAAAATCTTTGTGATAATGTATATTGTAAATAAAATACGTAGCCCTCTAGCGTGTATCATATTTTCATAAGGAATTAGTCCTTTAATTGAGCTGTCTTTATAATGTACCTGGTGAAAAGAAAAATATCATTAAGTGAACAAGTGCTATGGAAAATTGGCGGTTTATTTTGAGAACATATTAAGCAGAACATGTTATGGTTGTTCTAACATGCAAGCGACAAATTAATTTAAATCAACGTCGAGTTTGCGTCAAAAATAGGAAGTTAATGTATATTCATTGTCAATGGTTTTCTAGAATATTTGATTTACCGGGGAAAATTCGCGTATTTTGCTATTTGTTTTGATTTACTTTAAAATCGTTTCCTGTATATTCGGTTACAGAAAATGTGGAAGTGATAGCCAGGGTTTAATGAAAATGGACACATCATAACCAGGAAAACGTTGTTTTTGCATAAAACATGAGCGTATTTCTATGAACGTGTATATATCAATGGATTTTTCCCGAGCAGAAAATATGCACTTAATTAGTTTCCGAGGGCACGTTAATTAGCTAAATTGGATATTGTTGTAAAGATACGGAGAGGATTCTGTCGGAATTTATCAGTATACTAAGAATATTTCACAGACGGATTTTATCGGAAATTTGTATAGGCGATATTTATAAATATTTCAATGTTTAATAACTTTAAAGGCGATGGGAGGAAACAATTCTAAAGAAAATTTTCACGCGCATCATAAACATCAGCATGTTCGACATCTCGTGCCTTTTCTCGATGTTGAAGTTAATATTGACCGTGAAGACAGGTGTAGTTGTAGCGGTATCACGTGCATAAATGGCGGGAAAATTGTAGTCGCAGATTATGTTGGCCACCGAGTGAAATATTACGATTGGAAAATGTTGAAACTTTTGGATTATTACGAGACGACAACGCCTCCATATGAAGTGTGTTCGTCGGCGATTAATGAGTCTGAAGTTTTCGTCACATATCCGTTTGATTCTAAAATATATCAATTCCAGCTGAAAGAAAACAAACTGATTGTTTTAAAAGAAATCCCGACGGAAGGAATGTGTTATGGAGTTGGCAGTTTTGCCGACGGCCTTGCAGTCAGTTTAAGGATTGATAAACATATTTGGCAGCTAGAAATCCTAGATTATCAGGGCTCTGTTCAAAAAGTTTTCAAAGATGATGACGACGGAAAGGAGTTATTCGGTTTTCCAGACTACATCACCGTGGATCCGCAAGGTCAAATGTTATTTGTTTCAGACGGGCTGAAAGGTTCTGTCGTCTGCTTCGATCTGAAAAATTCGACAATGACATCAATAAAAGAGATTTATAAGTACATGTGCAGTCACCTGCAAATTCCAAAAGGTCTTACTTTAGATAAGTCAGGAAATTTATTTATAGTTGGATGTGAATCAAGTAACGTGCATAAAGTGTCGTGTGACGGAGAGAGAATAGGCGTGGTTTTGGGACACAAGGACCAATTAATGAATCCCATGGGAATAGTTTATGATTCCAGTGAAAAGAAAGTTTTTGTGACAGAGGGATCTCGAAGAGTTATGATATTTAAAGATAAAAGTTTAAACAGTTGAATATATTATGAAAGCATATCATTGTTTAATTACATTTTCCATGTGTTACTAGTGTGAGTTAACTCGCGTGACAGCGGGGAAAAACAACGATATACATGTAATCAGCTTCCTACAACATATAAAGACTTACTAGAATCATTTAATTTATGCAGATATGAGCAGCCCCAAAAAGACATGTATGTACAAAACATGTACATTAATTTTTGTAATGTATTTTAATAGTAATAACATCAATTAAATCGAATATGTTATACAAATTCTCTATTTTTATTCTACTAATTTCAGAAAAGAAATTGACTTTATCTTTACTTCACTCGATTATATTTCTTTATTTCACTCGATTGCTTTTTCTGTCTATCATGTTATGTACAATACGGCATCAAAACAGTAAATAAGGTAAACTTGGTATACATTTATATTCTGTTTACCATTTTTCAACATTAATAACCGCTCCTGTGTGGATTTTAAAATATGGTAGGACAAAGTGTATTGCCTTGTTGAAGATATGTTTGTAAGATAGTATTTAATCCGAAAACGAAATTGACCTTGTAACAATAAATAAAGAATGCGCCTTTATTATCTATATGATCATTTACCATGACAAATCGTTACCCTTGGCAAATCGAATTATTAACGTTAAACGAATCACACTTAAAGACACATCACGACATTTTTAGGTCAGAAAACTTGATTAAGATAAATATGGAAGTGATCATTTATCGACGTATTATTTAGATAAAATTCCCTCGTTACCTCGCCTGCAGTTCCAGCTTTAATTACCTCGCCTGGCGGTTCAAGGAACAAGGAACGATATCCCAGTATTTGATATACATATACTTGTAGTCAATTTTTATTTCAATTTTCGACGTTAAACATATTTTTTTGTGAACTCCAGGTCATTACATCATATAGAGCACAAAGAAACGATAACTTGACATTTTTGGACAACCAACAAATATGTACTGCATTGAACTGTAAGCCAAACATGGTTGTGGATGTGCCAAACAATGGCACGTTCAAGCAATGGCCATGTATTAAATACAATGCATTCAAGGTTAGTTGTCAAATCATAAAATATGAATGTAATTTAAAGTACATAGGCAAAATATATTATAAATGTAACAGGTTAATAATAACATTTGTAGATTTATGGATCGAAGATAAAAGAAGAAAACACTACTTTCATAACTAATAAATGAAATACAATCACCAACTTGACGGTTTATTTTGCAGGTCACTTTTTAAACGTTCGGTAATTTAAATGGTAAACGATCAAAATTTGAGAAATCTTTGGGTTTTTTTGTTCGTACGATGTCAATTTACCTTGCTGAAGAACAAAGGTGTTATATTAGACGAGTGGGTAAGTGTAGTGCACCAAAGAAACACGAGTGTATACTTATATAATGAAGTTCATACTTGTTTTATTGGGGGAAATATGAGTGTATACTTGTTTTAAAGTGTAATTTATCATAAAGCGTATATATTATGCAGTAATTTAACACACCCTGGCATCAACAACAGTCAAATTTATTATTACAGATAAGAGGCAGGAATGCATGATTGTATATAAAACAGAAGTTATATAAATATAAATTATGATAGGGAATGTACCGGTAAAGTGTTATTATGTAAGCGAAGTTATCTATTTACTCCGTTGATTCCCCTTTAGAACAAAACAATAACGCACACATGTACACTATTGAAATCAATTGTTCACTTTTCACAATAAGAATTTGTTCTTGCTCAATAGAGTAGTAAAATATAAATATTAGATAAAGTAAAGTAAACATTATGTCTGTTATCAGTGAACACCCTGAAAATGACACTTTTAGAACAAAGATATTCACCGCTTTTGTGACAATAATAATACAAATTTATACATGGATATAAAAAAAACCTCATACATACTGTAGTATGTATAGTGTGTACCTATTTCTGAAAACAGACAAGTACACTAGTAGTTTTATTTGTACATGCAGATTGATTCGTACAGATGCCTTACACACATTTTAACTTTATGATTGTAATTCGCAAAATATAAAGTTTAATGGGGTATCTATATCAAATAAGTAGTCATATAAATAAATTACACAAATATAAAGATTTTGTTTCTTTTAAAGAACAAAGAAAACTCTAATATTGTTGGATGCCTAGTACATGTATTACATGTATATTATTACATTATGGCATAATCTTATTTTTTATTTATCCCTAACACTTTTGCTCAAACAAAGATTGTTTTTAGTTTCTAAAAATAGAACGAAAGAGAAGTAAAATCGTATATATTTATTGCAATGTAATCCCTTAGCATTTCTGACTTTATTTTCTGAAGAATACATAGTAGCCAATGCATGAAACAACTGTGATTCCAGCGGCGACAACTGCAACATTCCTGCAATTGATATTGAAATTGTATCCAGAGTGGTCGCCCTTTAATGATTTGTCGGCGTTCTGTGTTTCCATATCTGGTATATTTTGTTCTGGTAATGCATTTGTGATATTTTTGGAAGTTGCTAGATCAGTCTCAATTTCCTCAGGCATGTTGACACGACCTGAAGTGACGAAACAACACGTGGATTATTTTGTTAACATTTTCTAGTAAACATTGTGAAAGAGAAGAGGTTTTTTGTATTATAAGTTATCTCTAGTAACTGGTGGTCGAACATTGATTATATTCTCAAGAATAATTTAACTCTTTGTCTGTTGGTAGATATAAATTGACATGGCTAAGACGCATTGAAACAGTTATTATAATAAATGATACTGAAAATAGGTTTAAATTAAATCTTGCACATATATAGCACTACATTATTTTTGGCTAGGTTTTATGACGCACAAACACAGTATACGTCATATGGCGACTTTCCAGCTTAACTGGTTTAGAAAGACCTAATAGGTGCCCTTCCGTGCATTAGTTCAAGCACAAACGGACACCTCAGTAGAACCACCAACTTTCTCAAATGAATGAATACGCTGGAATAGCGGTGAAAGGAAAGTGGTTTGAAGTCAACGATCTCAACCACTCGGTCGCGGACGTTAGGCAGCACAACATAGGCTGTGACGAGGCAATTTTCAACTAGTAATCAAAGTAAAACATGTTAACCTGTATCTGTACTGTCTTTCATAGATGGATCAGTAACTGTATGTGTATTTGTTACATCACTACGTGAGATTAGTGATACATTAAAATTTGTGTGCTCGGTGCAGCGTTCAATGCTGAATGTGGCATTCTGGTATGTCATTGTTATGTCTGAAAATAATAATTATTATTTTTATTTTTATATCTTTGAATAAAGTAATATAAATATGAAGATATATAAGCATCGTACAAACAAATAATTAATCTAACTTTAAAACCGAACAGACAATCAAGATAAAAAAACAACAAAAAACAACACCAACTACTGAAATGATTACAATGAGTTAATAACTAAAATAATGGCCTACAACAAACATAATTTGGTTGATTTTATAAACTTTCCTTTTAAATAATAAATATCATTTATACAGTTATGAGTGTGTATGTGCACCAGCATTTCTGAGGAAATAAAATCTATTGCAAGTCTTTAACAAATACCAATATTGTTTGCTGTCATATTTTGTACAACTGTTTCCGATGTGTTTGTGACATCCTCCTGGTACAGATTGACATCACGTGTATCTGTCAAAGATGCGTTCTCCTTGCAGTCCTCTTTCATACTAGCTCCACTTGAACGTAAGGCAATATCTGAAAGTCAAATCTTAGAATTATGATATATTATTGTGTTTTATCTGTCTTCAATTAACTGGTGTAAAACGTATTTTTCGTTCTTAATTATTTGGAATCAAACGATTTCGTAAGTAAAAGCATTGACTAAAAGTAACAATACATACCTTTAGTGTTTGTTGTTATACATGTAATATGGTCACCTTCTGCTACAATTTCTGTTATATCTTTTTCGATGCTTTCAGTTGTCATTGGCAAAGAATCCTCCCTTGTGTCAGTTTCTCTCTCAGGATGTGACACCATACCTGAAAATCAATACAGTAAGATATGTTGCATCATTGTGTTGGGGTTGTAGAACTAGCTATTTAAAAAATCTTTTTGAAGTCAACATTTTGATAAATTTTAACTCGTTTGTGTGTATACACATACTTTGGTTACACGTCTTTATAAGTGAACAAATACCTGCTGTCATTATCTGAAGAACTCCTGTATGTAGATCTGTTTTGTCTATCTTTGTCGTGAGGTCTGTTATGTCTTCCTTTGCCGTGAGATCTGTTTTGTCTTCCTTTGTCGTGTACCAATCTTCTTGTATGTTAGTTTCTGTCTCAGAAGAAACATCTTTATCTGAAAGACAGTTATATAGTGTGTCGAAAATGTGTTAGAATTAATAATATCTTTCCTCTATTGACGGGAAAATGAAGCATCTTTCAAGACTTTTATTTAAAACATTGGATAATGATTTAACAATAATTACAAAGAAAACATATTTTTAAAAAGTATGCTCATTTCTGAAAATCAATTGATTAAATACCGTTACACGTTTATACCGTTAAAAATTATATAGAGTATATATACTTTTGGTAGTTATATAATAAGATAACTTAGCATGTTTTAAACTATGTATAAAAGATGAACATATATACGTTACAATGATAATAATAATATCATCGCGAAAACACTATGCATGCACGCATCTGAAATGAATGTAATTATTAGAGATTTACAGCTTGTACGGTTAACGATAGCCGGAGACGAACAACAGTTATAATAACCGGGGGTTATCTCAAAATATTTATCATTCAATTAAATACAGTAAGTGCTGTAACCTTTTTAAGGCAAGTTAGATAAGTACAAATATTCACTAGAATTTGGCCTGAACGTTTAATCTCTGCTATATAGCGTGTTCAAGACATACACAGTATTTAACTATTCTGTTAATTTTTAGGCACTTCTTCGTTTAGGCTCCTATTTACGGCGTATTTTAGCTGACGTGTATGGTGTCATAATATGGGCATAAGTCGGATACATTTTATCGACAAGTTCAACGCACTCTTGTGAAAATGGAAAATTAATGCCGATTTTAGGTAAAATTAATACTACTGGGCATTATATTCGATGTCCCGAATAAAACTGTTCGTGTGTTTCATTCGTGCATAGGGCTACTGATTCCATAAGAAGTTCCATCAATTGCTATCACGGCTATCAAAATTCTGTTCCTGGTGCCTCTTATGGCTAACCACTCATGAACCTGTAGCAAAACGACAAATGTTTTAGACGTAGATAGAAAATCGGGATATATTGCATTATCGCACTTGGCACTGATATGTTGAACAATGACGAAAGCATCATAAACTTCTGGTATGTTCGAAACCATCAGCACAAATAAACTCTGTTTCTAGCAAGAAGTTTAAGAGGTTTGTATGATGAAATACGAATAGTTTTTAACAGATCTAAAAATGTCTCAGCAGTTCAACCCGGTCACTTGAAAAAGATAAAAGAAAACACATTTCTGCCACTTAAAATGTCTTTAACGATTCCAAAAGAAATATATAACTTTTACTTAGTATCGGGTTAGGCGGTTCTCGAATGAGTTTTTTTCACACTATAATTCATATTCTGCTTCTGTAATCGGTTTATCCTTTTGCTTTTTGTTATCGATGATATTTGTTCAGTTCAGTGTAAAATCTGAATATATTTCTCCGAGTGAGCACCAATAGGTATATTTCACGAGTGGCGCAGCAAGGAGTGAAATATGAACTTTTGGTGTTCACAAGGTCAAATATATTTCGATCTTACACTAAACTAAACAAATCTCGTTTTATTATATGCAAAACACGTTTTAGAAAGACCTAATACTGAATGAAAAGCGCGCTAATACTGAATGAAAAGCGCGCCAAATATATGAAAACAACGTTTTAGAAAAACCTAATACTGAATGAAAAGCGCCAAATAATAATACAACGTGTCGGCATTTACGACGTCACGTCATTAAGTTGGTCCCCAGTACTGTGCACGCTGGTATTTCACTGAAACGACGTAAGGTGCTTAAATTCAAAACAGTGAAATTATCAAATTGATAAATCACTGTTTAAAACAGTCAAATTATCAGATTTATACACTGATCTATTTTTATAAACCACAGAAAAGCATGTAATAAATATTGTAGCATACAAATATGCGCATTAAACGTCTTTTAGTTTGGTCATCTTGTACAGGAGTCGAATTAGATGCTATTGCGCACCATCTTTAGAATGCCGGGATCGACACAAGAGAACACGAGGCCAGTCAAGTAGCAGGTCCGTCAGATTAGGATAATCAACCAGAAACATCTGATTTAAGGGAAAAGAAGAAGAAGACCTTACTCCCCCACGTACACAGAAACGGAGAAGAAGAATGAGGTCGCTTGCTGACATTATTTGGGAAAATCAATTATTTTACAACGATTTTATTTAAAACAAAGTTTCAATTAAGATTGCTTCACTAGCTTGATGTGGAGAAATACTCTGGTGAATCAAATTAGATATTCAGAAAACACATAACAACGGCTTTTTGTAACAGAAATAAATGCAATTATTACATTTGGCTGGGCCTTCTGTTTTCTTATTTTTAATCATTTTGAAACGCCCCCTTAAAACATTAGCCGTCTCCGTCTTCGTCTATCGCTATCGGCTCAAGCTAAAAACTCTATATTATAAGGGGTAGGTGGGTATTGAATATATTTATTATAAACCTGTTAATGTTCTGCTTTTAGTAACATGGACAAATATGACGCGATAGTAAAATATGTATTGTGCCTCGTGTGATCCTGGCGTCGAGTCAAACACACGATCCATATTCTCATATAATAACCTCATTATATCATTGAGACGAAATCATAAATATGTTTAGACCACGAGCATATTTGAAAATAAGACATATTAGATGTGACCTGTTTAGTTTGCTTTATCAAAATTAAATGCATCATTAAAACACGGATTTATATTACAGTATTAAATGGTTATCCAATGATACCATTCACCTTAATAAATAGATTATAATACATTATTGACTAGCATTTTATCGATTAGCAAGATAGACATGTAATTCAGCTCTCTTTAGACCAAATTACAGATTACTGTTTAAATACTTTTCAAGAAACTGTAGCCTAGGTGGAATCTTCCATACAATACTTAAATAAAAATAACAACAACAATAACAGTAACAAAAGACTTCTGTTTTACCTTTTGCTTTCTTGACCGTCCGCAAGTTTCCTTTGTTGTTTAGTTGTCGTGTATACCTCTGTTCATTTAGTGAAGCATGGTCCTTGTTATCCGTATGCAAAGAAACAGAGCGATGTGGTTTGTGGAAGGACTCCCTTTCTCTTGTCACTGTTGATGAACTATCCACTGGAATACACCAATCGATTTCAAGTATTTGAGCCGCGTCACGACAAAACCAACGTAATGCGTTTGCGACCAGCATGGATCCAGACCAGACTGCGCATCCGCGCAGTCTGATCAGGATCCATGCTGTTCGCTTACAAACCCTATAACAAGTATAGAAGCTGAAAGCGAACAGCATGGATCCTGATCAGACTGCGCGGATGCGCAGGCTGGTCTGGATCCATGCTGCTCGCAAACTCATTATGTTGGTTTTGTTATGACGCGGCTCATTGATTTAACAGAGAAATTGTTGTGATTTCTTCATCAGCACACAATCTATCTACATGTACTTGTTAATGTAAAACATGAATTTATTCATATATTAAGCTAAACACAAACTGACGTAAGGTTAAATAAAATTTATTTTTACAACATATGCAATAATTGAAATTAGTAGAAAAATACCTTCTTTTCCATCAAATGCCTTTTCATTATACGTGTGTTCAACAATGATGGGCTTTTGTCCGACATAAATTGTGTGTGATTGTATAGACTCTATGTCAGTCACATCTCCCGTGCAGGCTCGAACCACCAGAAACTTGTACTGTACAGTACTGTTCTTTGGCATCCTAATGGAGAAAATATTATTCGTTAGTACGGTAACAAAACAAAAATTCTTTGATACAAACAGGCAAAACATGAATAAGAAATTAATCTTTAGCTAAATTTTTGCTGATTAAAAAAATATATAATTACCATATATCTTTACACCAGAAGTTACGTCCAACCTGGTTACATCTCGGTGCCATCTTGGTATTGTAATTTCCGAGTTGAATAGCTGACCCCACTACAGCAACAAAATAGTCATTGGCCCCACCTGGATAGCAGTCTAGCGGTTTGAACACTTTGAGCTGCACTTTAACTCTGTCATTAAATTGTGATGTCATTTTAAAAATGACAGGCAAAACTTAGTCTGTAAATATTTTGGTGAAAGGAACAGTATTCAATTAAATATATTTCATCTTTTATTTCCATTTTTTTACATGGTTGCAAAATCTGATTATTTTATTGATTAAATATATTAATCGCGATGTTACATTTCATAGATTACTTATTGTTATTTTTAAGCATGTATTTCCAAACAATGTTCAGTATTTATTTTAAATTTCTTACCTTTATGCTCTTAGATTTTGCTGGAAATAAGTCAACTTCAAAAGAATTCTGCTATTGTCCTTTAGTAACGGTTCCAACAACTGGCGTATGTTACATAGATACGACGTCAAGTCTGTGACGTCAGGCAACTCTGACGTATGTCCATATAATACGTAACGTTATTTACTAAACTATTTACGGAAAGATTTTAAATAAAATTCGGACTTACTCAAATTTAGCTGAACCTCCGCCATATCTCGGTCTCTCTGATAGATCACTGAAACCGCGACTGCAGCCAAACTATAAGTTCGCACACCCGAACCCTGTCTACACCATAATAGGGGTGTACGCTGCTGAAATATCATTATCCTTACGTTTTTGTGTGTAGGCAAACTTCACACGCAAAGTGATAGTTTTTGAGTTCAAAATGCTCAGAATATTCTGGATATGATCATAACGGTATAAATGGGTTTGTGTTAATTTGACATGAAAAAATGCATGTAATATTACTATATTGCTCCCTTTTATTGCTATTTTTATCATCTGTTTGTATATTTGCTACAATTATCAAAATAAAAAAACAGACTTTGTTTATTTTGACCAATGTTTTGTATGTTCCAAAAAAAAAAAAAAAAAAAAAATACATTTAATATTCTTATCTCTAGCAAGCCTACCACAGTTCATGAACAATGTAGTTCGTTAATACCAGTACGTTACGATAGAGCTCTGTAACACCGCACTTTGGGGTCAAACGCACTTTGGGGTCCGACCCCAAAGTGCGTTAAACTTCGCACCGCACTTTGGGGTCAAACGCACTTTGGGGTCAAAATCGAGAAATTGACCCCAAAGTGCGTTAATATGCTACATGTCAACGCACTTTGGGTTCAAGCGGTCTAAAGGTGTAATCTGAGTTCTGCTTAAATACTGAGTACTGACTTATTTTCTATCTGCGACATTGGAATATTTGAGTTGGAGTTCAAGATGGCAGTCAATACTTTATGATGCTTAAGTGATAAAAGTTTCATTAATGTTACTACTAGAAATATCTAAAAATTGTGTTCATATAACAAAATTACGGTGGCATAAAAGTGACATTTGCATTTTTTTGTTTTTAGTTTTGTATACATATTTTATTTTAGTTTTGCATACATATTTTTTTCAGTTTTGCATTCATATTTGATACATATGTTATTTTTGTTTTTCATACATATTTTAGCCAATCAAAACAGCCTTCAAATCTCAGCCCATAGTTGAGTATAAAACTAATTTACATATGGCGAAGTGTTTGAAAATGGTGTTTAACAAATGGTGTAATTATCCAAACCTCTACTTAGCAAATGGCGTCATGTAAAAATATGTACGAAAAAACAAAAATAAAATATGTACAAAAAAACTAAAATAAAATATGTATGCAAACTAAAAATGAATATGTATGCAAAACTAAAACAAAATGTGTATGCAAACTAAAAAAGAATATGTATGCAAAACTAAAAAAAGTATGTATTCAAAACTACAAGTAAAAACATATCTACGACAAACAAACAAAAATGTTACGAAAAACAAAAAAAGTAGAAAAAAATACAAATGTCACTTTTATGCCATCGTTCAAAATACTCTAGTACAGAAATATTGTATTCCTAGAATTAAAAGATGCTGCGAAAAGTATCCCGTTCTGTCGGTCATTTACTTGATAACTTTTGGTGCCATATTGAGCCCCATTTTAAATATGTTGGGAATGAAAAAAATGCAGTTAATGTCTTTTTTCAAAGAACTATAAATATACTCTATTGCAATGTTCTGGTGAAATTTTTTTTCGATCGGACTATAAATAGTGATTTTTACAAAAACATTATTAAGCTTATCAACAAACTTAAGGGTTTTTGTAAGCTCCAGAACAACCGTTCGCCAGAGGCTTTTTTTATGGGAAATCTTACATACTTCTTAAGAAAGAGCAAACATGAATTTTATAATGTTAAAATAATGGTATCTGAGAAATGTAAGATACTTGTTATCTGAATAAAGTAGCGATAACTGTGAAATTATTCGTCATAAAAGAAGTCAAAACACTGTAGTATTTGACTTCCATATAAAATACTAATTCACTATAACTGTACTCATCATTGCCAAAAAGCAACAGATGAAAAAGATGGTTCAGGTAATTGGCCAATGTGTTGTTTTTTTTGATAATATAGAAGAACATCAAAATAAAAAAGCTTTTAAGAAAAACAAATAAAAGCATAATGTGCCTTTAAAACGTTATTTTTAACCCTCGGGGGATCGATACCCCACAATCCCCTCTATACCCCCAAAGAGAATTTTACATTATTCTGAAGCTCCGCTCTTAATGTGCGACTACTTAAATAGTTGACATTTTTAGTACTGCCTGTACGGACTACTACTTAAAGCCGCATCTACACCTAGTCAAGTTTCTTATATGTCACATTTAGCTAAATAAATGGCCCTTTCAACATATTATCAGGCACATTTTTTACTGAAATGTCTTACTAAGATTTCCCAGAATTTATACCTTTGTCTATGCTAAGACTATCATATTTCTTAAAAATGTGTAAATAAAAAACGGGAAAATAATGCATTTAGCTAAAAACAATGGAGTTAATGAAAGGTGTACATTCTTTTAAAATACATGGAAAATTTGAGAAAAAATATTTTAAGCTTAACAATAGATACAAATTCTTTATTTGGTGATTTATTTGGTGAAAGTTCTTCACTTACTAATCAAGATCATTTAAATCCCTATTGATTCTATTATAATTCAGGGCACATGTTTGTGTCTATTTAATGCCTTGATTTTTTTGTTTACCATTGGCTTTGACTACAATATATAATTTAAAACATAATGAACTTTAATTTTCTATGACCCCAAAGTGCGGTCGTTTGCCTGATGTTAAAAATGCATATGTACCTGTTTAACGCACTTTGGGGTCGAAATTGGACCCCAAAGTGCGTAACGCACTACGTAACGCACTATGGGGTCGGACCCCAAAGTACGTAACGCACTTTGGGTTCCGACCCCAAAGTGCGTTTGACCCCAAAGTGCGGTGTTACAGAGCTCTACTAGAGTTATCTAATCTATTATCTACTAATTATATACATAATTTAAACTTCACAGCTGATTTCGGTAATGCTAAAAACATAACGGGTTGTTGAGAACAAAGGGAAGTAACTCAATAATTACATTTTTGTTAATAACATCATTAAAATACAATATTTTCAATAGATTTTTTAACTGAAAGTCTATTTCATTATTTTTCATCAAAAAATGAAGAAATAATAGCAATATTTTAACTAGTTTGGTTTTTACGTGTTGATTTCGGTAATGAAAAGTTGATTTCGGTAACTTTACCGAAATCAAGTTGATTTCGGTATCGTAACGTACCCCGTTAATACATTCTGGTACAGTTCTGGTAAAATCCAATTAACTATTGAAAAAGTTTATAAGAATATCCGGTCATCAGATGTCTACAAAGTCATCGACACTTGCTGCATTTCTTGCTTGGATGCCCTTCGATAATATATACTAGTTCTTAATCTAAATAGAAAATGACTGTGCGCAGGAATAATTTGGTAAGGTATCTGTGTAATGAGCGCATTTCTCAACTGCTGCATTGCAACAACATTTGTACTTGTATGCCTTGTGTTTAAGTCAGTTTTACACCTATGACAATATGATATGTTTTGAACGTCACAGGGATAGAGGGATTATATTAATCAATAAATCTAAGATAATTTGTTGTTTTCAATGTACATATTTATTGTAAATAGGGCACACAAGAATAATTTGCTGGACTTGAAATTATAAATGTGTATATAAATTGAAAATATGTACATAAAGTTAGTTCCCTATTCCTTATTCCTTTTTCGAATAAGGAATAAGTTCCTTATTCCTTTTTCGAATAAGGAATAGGGAACTAGTTCCTGATTCCTTATTCAAATCTTAGTAAGGAACAGCAGAATTAGTATTTATATAAAATAAAATTATCAGAAAACTAGAACGTTGCTTTCTTTCACAAAACTGTTGAAAAATGCACAAATCAATCATCAAAATCATAGAATAAAGCAACCGCCTCGACCTATTTTTTCTTACTAAAGGAACTCCACTGAGGTTCAAAAGCCTGAAATGTATGGCATGTTAAACGTTGCAATATTCAATAAATTTAATTTTTTGGTCTATATCCAATATTTATATTGTATAATTTAAATTTTACATGCTATAACATAATATTGATTCTATCTTATTAAAAATATTTGTTCATCAAAAAATATTTGTGTGCGATAATTTTTTTCTATATATATGTTCTATATTTGAAAATAATATTGTATAATTTTAAACATTTATTGGATACAGTACTGAAAAATATTTATTCGATAATTTGAATCATGGGATAGAACACTTAGCATATTTAGCCCCGCCTATTAAGTAAGCACGAATTTCTGATAAAGCGTTATCATCCTGATAGACTTGATCAGTGTCCCTGTGAATGTCACTTATAAAAAGTGCATATGCTTAATCCTCCTTATAAATATATATGTGTGTCTAAAAATGAGAAAAGATTTCAAAGTCTTCAGGACATACGAGGACTTGGGCTGTCAATTGAAGAATAATTTTCAAACTATCACTTATTGTTATATATCACAATTAATCGGAAAACTATACCATATCTTATTTGATAACAAATAATTTGTACGTAACAGCGAATCAAAAAAAAAACCCATGCCAACGCACACCCGGCGCAGTGCATAAGTTTGCGCTGACAATAGGCGCTTTATTAAGCGTACATTTTACAATATGCCACAATTAGATTTCAAAATACGAAACGTCATGAGCCATATTTGACGTTGTCAGAAAAAATGACTTCATTTAAACCACATTTATCTTTGCAATCATTATTCATATATATCACTTGTAAATGAAAAAACTCGCGTTAAGGTAGCCATAGCACAGTTTTTGATTGAAATAAATGATTAAGAAAGGGTGATTGAGAAATTGAAAGCTTTACAAAATTCAATACTTTCAGTTCAGCTTGTCCAAGTTCAATATCCTTTATTATTGAATCATACGAGTACTATACTCTCTGCGTCAACATTTTCATGTACTCGGGCCTTTTAATGTTTCTAATGCTAGCATAAGCTAGTAAGCCCTGTC